GAGAGAGAGAGAGAGAGAGATTTAATTTAATGGCTATAAATATCTGCAGATGTCCAACAGAACTGTCTATTTTTTTACATCATTTAGAATGGTTATGGACTTTTTAGAGAATCCAATATAATGGTTATAGGTTTTCTACAGGCAACCAATAATAAGTTTAGACATTTTTACATATTTTAAAATTGGCTATACGTTTTTAAAAACATCTTGCATAAGTGTATTAAACTTTAGATATGCATTCTGTATAATGAACATAGATTTTTTCACAGATAATCTATATAATGGCTCTAGACTTTACACAAACATTCTGTATAATACCTATAGACTTTTTACAAACATTCTGTATGATAACTATAGACTTTTTACAAACATTCTGTATAATAACTATGGACTTTTTACAAACATTCTGTATAATAACTATAGACATTTTTTTGCATACCCTATAAAACATTACAGGAATTTCTCATTTGCTTTACCTAACAGCAAGAGATGTCTTACTGTGTAGTTGCAGACCTTTTTATAGATATACTACACTATAACTATAGAGTTTTGCATACATTCTCTAGAAAACATTAAATTTTGTAACTCTAATGTTTATTTGGCTACAGTAGGGCTTATTTTATAAATGCTACAATAGTTGCAGTGTTTATGAAGTATTTATCGCATCTGTAACCATCGCAGTGATCACTGCTGTAGAAAGTTTAATGGGTATAAAAATCTCTAAGATATTTGAAACTCATGTAAACTAATATTCAAAGGATGGATATAACCATTCTGTAGGACATGACTTTAGATATTTGTAGGCTACAGAGTGATTACTGACATTTTACAACTACATGAAGTGGCTATAAGACATTTTCATAAGGGTTGATTTGGATCTAAAGTCATGAAACGTTTTTTTTATCCCTGTCAGTACTATCAGCATATGTGATACAGTAGTCAGTGAGAATGCTACAGGTTTATTCTTCCTGCCACTATTTGAATTCATATTGGCACTCTGGTGCAGTAACTAGTCAAGTGTGCTAATATGAATTCAAAGAGTAGCAGAAAAAATAAACCTGTATGTTAAAAAGTGATAGCATTCTCACTGACTACTGTAGCTTTATAGTGATAGCACTGAATGGATAAACGACAGAGAAATATGGGTTGCATCTCTGTATGTTTGTTTGTTAATTTTTCTGCGATACAAGTCCTTTCTTAAATAAAACTTGTTTATTCTTCCTCAATACAACTTTGCAATACATTTAATTTTCACAGCTACTTTGACTTAAACACACTCTATATATCACAACAATTCACTCACTTTCTACCGCACTTGACTCAATTGTCCGTCTCTATCTTCACCTGTCAGCAACTATAGTTCCGATCTCTGTATCTGCTATCCTCAGTTCCCACTGACCATAACTGCTGTCCTTGGTTCCCCACTCTCTCTTGTCTCCTTTGTCTAGCCCACTTATATACGATAATACCAACCATGTAGCCTGTTTGAGAATCTTCTAGATACTCATTACATGTTACCAACGTCACGTGACCCCCACTGTCATAACATATGGTTCTAAATCCAAGGCAAAAGAAGTTCATTTGTTAGACTTCCTTGATGCATGCTCTTCTGAAATGGAATAGTTGTGGTTAAAACTGACTCATGTGTTACATAAAAGAAATTATTTCTATGCATAGCTCACAGAATTAGTTTTAGAATAACTTGTTTTAAATAAATATGATATTTTCATGATCTAAAGTTATGATAACTAAATTTGCAAGACTTACAATATTATGTATAACAGGCAAGGTGTAATGTGTTTCAAGATATTATACATCAGTCAGGAACCTTAAGATAGATAAATAACAGTAAATAATATGTATAGATTTGTAATTTTAACACTTACATTAGTATAAACCTAACTGTTAGTTAGAACTATCTTCAGTAAATGATTAACTGTGTTATTGGTGTTTAAAACAGGAGCAACCTTGCTCAGTGGCAAGCTCTGGCTAACCAACAAAGCAGCTCACTGGAGAATCAAACAAAAGCCATTCAGTATAAGGAAGAACGTGTAAGTGAAGTAAAACAAGCCCTGGAAGATTGTGAAGAAGAGAACAATATAAATGAAGAATTCGACCAGGAACATGTCCAAAACAAAGAAATTTTTAAACCAGAAGACCAAAGAGATAGTTTGTCTAATTAGTAAAATACACAAACATTATCATACAATATATATTTTCTTTACATAACTTAAACAGAAATATAGCATTTATAATGCCCCATTTTTAATAATGACAGGATACTATTTTTGATAGTTTTCCAAATTACACAATGATTTTGTAGCCTGCCTCTTTGTTGTAAGTTTCTATTCAAAATCTCTCTAGTTGTTCTAAGATTTAGTACAAAACCTGGACAACTGTTATGTCCCTAGTTCCAAATACATATTGTTGTTGTGATCCCAGATCTGTCTGATTATTGCATGTTTCAATTCAAAGCTTGTCAATTTTTTTGGACTTCATTTTAAACTTGTTATAGTTAGTTCTAGTGATTTCATTCAAGCATGCATAGACACAAGTATTGTAATTATGCTAACATTTGATCTACCGATACTTTAAAGTCATTTCTGAAAATTAGTATTTGAAGATATAATGTTTCATTTATTATCTGATTTCTTACAATATGGATATGGAACACTTAAATAGAAGAAAATGTGTTTTTAAACCCTTTTGGTATGAAAACTTAAACATTTACCTCCTGAAAAACACACATAATACATGTGTACTCTAGATTTCTCCGTATTTACTTTTCCATTGCATGTGTTTTGATGTGTATTAAACTCCAGTTTTTTTTAGTATTGTTATCTTATACAAACTATTTATAACACACATGAGCAAATGATAAACCAGTTGGATCACATAACTCCCTATATCTTCTGCAAATACTTTGTACAATGTTCCTGATTGTCTACATGAAATTTTAGCAATGTATTTATGTAGTGTTAAAATACATTTAATTGGCTTAGAACAAGTAATAACAATTCATGATTAATAAAGAACTCTTCAACACTTTATTAAAGCTCTCCACGTTTGTAACTTATTTTTAAATTCGATTTTCATATTTACAAGCAATGAAATATAAGTTTTCAAATCATAATTGTATAATTAGTTAAAACAAAGATTTTTACAACACTTATTTTGATATTAAGCACTTAATTTCTAATCATTAGGTGCAACTGTAGGCACTACCTTTTCAAAATGATCTTGACTTGATCTATTAGAGTAAAATAAGCAAGTTCTCACTGAGATTTATTCCAAACTACTTTCATCATCAAACTTTGGGTGTTTTGTTTTATAATTTTCACTTAGTCTGTAGTATTGTCTTCTTATCGTAACTATTTACATTCATAAACTGGAGCTTTTAGCTATTTCCTACACAGTTGTAAACATTTCCCAGAGTCTAAGACCAAAAAAAATAACACTAACATTTCAAATAATTTAATTTATTAGTTAAAAACATATATTATCAAAACAAAACTTTCAACAAACCAGAATATTAATCAATGTAACATACAACACATCAGAGGATAAATCCTTTGTAACATTGTTATATCATTATAGTATTTTGGCAATTGTGTATAAAGTTAAAATCATAAATAATATTCAACGTTAAACTGGTACACAATTAAAAACATTGAATAAAATGTTTTTAATTGTGTACCAGTTTAAT